AACATTTTTTACTATATGTTTATAAAAATAAATACAGTACATACACCAAAATTTTTGTCTGTCTGTATGTCTGTTTGTTCCGGCTAATCTCTCTCTGTTTGCCGGGACTTTTTTTGGCAGGTAGCTGATGTAATAAGGAGTAACTTAGGCTATTTTTATTTAAATAAAAATAAAGTTTAATTCCACACGGACCAAGTCGCGAGTACAGCTAGTTAACCATAAAATTATTCGTATTACAACCCGTTTAACTATACTAACAATGTGTACTAAATTCGAAAGTTTAAAAATAAGTATCTTCGTCCTACAAACAATCATACTCATGAATATAAATGTTTATGCTGTCCGAGGAGTCGAACCCGCGACTATCAGAATTAAGGCGTAGAGCTATAACCGCTATACCACCGAGGCCGATATATATATGTATATGTTGTGATAATGTAGGCTGCGGCTTATGTATTCGGAAACGAAATCAACGAACCAAACCGACACGTACATTAACGCGATGTCGTAATACTGCTGGAAGTTTGATAATCAGGTCAAGTTATATGTTTGTACAGCATTATATTAAACCTACGGATAAGTGCCTACTACTGGTAACTTACCTGATGATAAGTGATAGCTGTGATATATTAACAGTACATGGCAAGGTAACTTACCTGATGATAAGTGATAGCTATGTGATATATTAACAGTACATGGCAAGGTAACTTACCTGATGATAAGTGATAGCTGTGATATATTAACAGTACATGGCAAGGTAACTTACCTGATGATAAGTGATAGCTGTGATATATTAACAGTACATGGCAAGGCAACTTACCTGATGATAAGTGATAGCTGTGATATATTAACAGTACATGGCAAGGTAACTTACCTGATGATAAGTGATAGCTGTGATATATTAACAGTACATGGCAAGGTAACTTACTTGATGATAAGTGATAGCTATGTGATATTTTAACAGTACATGGTAAACTTAGATCTGTGCTTAACAAAAATTAGTAGATTTTGCCAAATGGAATAGGAATCGGCACTACACATCCTATGTGATTGTAGCTCACTTATGCATAAACGAAATATCTCCTTTAGTATGTACACATTCTATCCTGATGACATCGCTCCTAAGGAAATAAAAAACCGTCGTTTCTAAGAATATTCTTCTATGTCCTAAGAATATTGTCCTATTGTCCCTGATGGGTCTAGGCAGTGAACATTAAATAAGGAGCACAATAGATCTATGTATGTCGCAGTACATAGGTCCTTTTAACACTGTGTAATAGACCAAACACTATAATACCCAATATTATAAATGTGAAAGCTTGTGAGTATGGATGTATGTTTGTTACTTTTTCACGCAAAAATTACTGAACGGATTTTGATGAAACTTTACAGTAATATAGCTTATATATCAGAATAACACTTAGGCTTTCGTTTAAAAAGATATTATGTGAACTAGCACACACCATCAAACCTTACTCTTTAATAGCTGTAGGTATTAGCAATTTAACAATTTTCTAGATCTGCTGTTTATTCTCTTATGTAGAAATAGAATAGAAATAATCTTTATTTAAATAAACTCATTACAAGCACTTTTGAATAGTCATATTTTGATTCTACCACTCATTCGGAATGCAGATTCATCACAAGAAGAATGAGCAAGAAACTTGTGTGTTGCTCTTTTTAATAGATGTTTTTATTTATATAAATAATTACAGTATAACAAGTAAGAGGCATGCGATAATCAACATAGAAGTCGCTACGCACTCATTATTATGTAATCAGATAATATTGTCAGTGCTATAGATTTAAAGTTTTTCTATAAAAACATTATTATCGTTAACGAATTCTTCAATTTTATAGTAAGCTTTTTTGCAAAGGAACTGTTTTATTTGACATTTAAATCTTTTTTCTGGCAGATTTATAACAGACTCTGGTATTTTATTGTAAAACCTTACGCAATTGCCATAAAAGTGTAGTAGATACTAATCCAAACACTCAAGGTTGTTCCATCGTGTTAACCACATCAGAAATTCGTTTAATACCCAGGATTCCCCTTGGTCGGGAATACCAAACCAGGTCGTCTCCATGGCAACAATAGTCACAACATCCAGTGCAGACACCCATGACATACTAATATTTTATACTCGATAGAAACTATTCAGTTTTTATCGAGTATAAAATATTAGTTACTAGTTACTCGCCCCGTCTCCAAGTCCCGTCAAAATCGGTCCAGCCATTTCAGAGATTAGCCGAAACAAACAGACCGACAGACAAAAATTGTAATAAATGCTATTTTGGTGTATGTACCGTATTTATTTTCATATGCATGTACTAAAAATCGATTATTTCAATATTACAAACAAACACTCCAATTTTATTTATATAGATAAGGGATGTTAGGGAGCTCCGTAACCATCGGATATCCGATATAAAAAAATATCCGTAACCGTAACCGAATCCGAAATAAAAGTTTCGGATATAGATAGTTCCGGATAGAGGCGGAGCGTAATTGATACACGTTATGTAACCATTTTATTAGCTATTTGTATCTTTGTTTTGAAATTCCTTAAAAAAAATATCCGTAACCAAAATTATCCGAAACTAACGGATAATCCGAAATAATTTCATATCCGCATCCGTATCCGTATCCGGTATAATAATCGTTCCTATATCCGAAACCTATCCGTATCCGAAATTTCATATCCATAACATCCCTAATATAGGTGATTAGCTAGGATTCGCTCATCTAAAATTGTATTTACAAGATCAATGTTATTGCCATATAACAAAACTGACATAACAATGAATATTGTAAATAACAATATGTTTTAACCATTTCAACTGACGTATTAGCTTTAACTAATCAAAACAAAAGGAGGTTAACGACATTTCTATTGATTTAACGGACGGTTAATTGGTGTGGTAATAATTTAACTATAACCTGTCATATATAACTGACTTGCGATATAATCTGTATATGTTATCTATACATATAAATACAATTGGAGTGTCTGTTTGTAATATTGAAATAACCGTTTTTTACTACATGCACGTCATGAATATAAATACGGTATATACATACACCAAATAACATTTTTTGACTGCTTACTTTGTTCCGGCTAATCTCTGAAATGGCTGGACCGATTTTGATTGGACTTTTATTGGCAGCTGATATAATAGGGAGTAACTTAGGCTAGTTTTATTTTAGAAAAATTAACTTAAATTCCACGCGGACGAATTCGCGGGTGCAGCTAGTAAACAATAATAATGAATTAAATACCAGTTCGTTTTCGATTCTAGAATAAATAAAGAATAAAGATATATCTTCCAAGCTTGGTGTTAAGAAATAAGACTGTACATAAGAAATTTATACGATGACTAGCTTTTGCCCGCGGCTTCGCTCGCGTTAATTTATCCCCTTTGGGGTGGAATTTATCAAAATCCTTGCTTAGGGGATGCCTACGTCATAGTAGCTTTATGCATGCAAAGTATCAGCCTGATCGGTTTAAAATTGACAAAGTTTCATAAAAACTTTCATCCGCTATTTTATCCCCTTGGGTGTAGAATTAATCAAAATCCTTTCTTAGCGGATGCCTACGGCATAACATCTACCTGCATGCCAAATTTCAGCCCGATCCGTTTAGTAGTTTGGGCTGTGCGTTGATAGATCACTATGTCAGTCAGTCACCTTTGAGTTATATATATTTAGATGGTCGAGAAACCCACTGACTACAGTACCTCAGGTGCGGTGTCGTCACGCCTCGTGAACTAAGGGACAGACGGTGTTTCCGTTACTGGCCACTCTTGTGTAACAAACAACAAACTCCAACTAAAAATTAATATATCAACATAGGCGATCATATTTTTTATTTTATATTCATTGCTATACTTGTTTGTATTGGTCTGGGTGTTTTCGATGTATATCGTCAATGTATTTACAAAAAAATGTATCTAAATATTTATAGTTGCTAGTCCTAAAAAAAAAAAAGTAATTCAATTGAGTTTCTTGCCAGTTCTTCTCAATTGGATCTATATACCGAAATGGACGGTAGGGAAAAAAATTATGATGTAAAAACTTGATGTTCATAAGCGGCTGAAATGTCCTACATGAATAAATGATTTTTGAATTTCAATAACACAAGCTTTGCTTAGCTTGGGACTAGATCGCCTATCTAGTGTTATTATTATTATTATTAATTTTCTGTCTCATCTGCTGCCAAGCAGCGTATCTTTATATTCCAGTTTGTGAAGATATAAAATTACTGGGTTTGGAAGTATAACATCTTAGTTCTTAGTAATGGCAACACCTATATCACTTGCGTCACGTTTTCTCCGGCCTTTTTGTTTCCAGAATGGAAATATTTATACAGAATCATTTCTATACAATCATTTCTGTATATTTCCTTTCCGTCTTTGTCATTACTAAGAACTAAGATGTTATGCAAGAATTTGTACCGACTAAAGCCTGTCTGATTCACTTAAAAAGTCTCACGAAACACAAACAAACATACAGTACCCTAGGTGCAGTTAGCAAATAAAACGATGAATTAATTTTTAGACTTTTATTTCTTTCAATTGATCCTTACTACAGACATCAATGAATTACCTCAAACAAAGGTATAATGGAATGTGTAAGTACCTACGGTTTTGATTGTGTCATACATAATATATGGACATTTAATATAATATAACAATAAATATGTATGAAACAAGAATGCTTGAGGACGCGTCCAACGAAATATACAAGAAAAACAATAAAATCTAATAAAGTTCATGTTACACTTTAAGTGACAATACATTATGATATTTACAAACAATTAACGATAGAATCGTTAACTGGATCTCAAGTACAGTCGTACCCTGTTTATTTACAAAAAACTAATAAAAACACAACGTTCGCTACAATTACGAGTAATTCATAAAAATTAAGCTACAAATTGTGCCTTGTATATATTATATTATTCTCAAATGTATCTACAGTTGCATTATATTCATCTATATTCTATACCATTATAGTATTACCAATGATGCTATCTTTACCGTTATCTATAAGTTCCGAATAACCAGATTCGTCGCTGCATGCGCTGTCGTTATCGCCTGTGCCTTTGAATACCTCTGTTTCAGTGCTCGAAGTCAGGCTATCTACGTCTGTCAGGTCAATAAGAGGTTCGAAACTGCCCTCAAAATTGTTGAGAATACTGGAATCGACACCCAGAGGTGGGTACGTGGATCTTCGACGGAAAGTATTCTTTTCTCCAATCGGTATGTGATTTACTTCCTCAGGAGATACCATGTTGGGAATGTTGTTATCTGTATTTATCATGTGAGTCGAATTTGAGCAGCTCTTACTGCTCGCTCTCACCGGTGAACGCTCAAAACGTTGTATATCGTCAAAGACTGCGATGTCGTCATCATTTTCTAATTGCTTCTTCTGTATTTCTTCCTGCGGGAAGTTGGAGGGAAGCGATGATGGTTCTGTGTCAGACGTCACCGTGCTGGCAGTTTCGCAGCCTGAAGAAACGGATCCATCGTCGCTATCCGTGACGAGGAAGTTACTTTGAGATAACAGTTGCAGATTCTTGCATTCATTGTTCCTTGCGATATCAATCAGTTCGTTAGATTCTGCAATAGACTCCAACGTGTGCAATCTAGATTCCAAATTCTCATCGCTTTGACTAGTTTCGTTATCGTTATGTTTTATATCTACTTTGTTACTTTCTTCAACCAGAAGATCAATCAGTTTCTCTGAAGTGGCTTCTGAACTGTCTTCAGAATCTGTGCGGGTTCTACCCATTTCTGGACAGGATAATTTACGCGGAGATTTCATCTCCGGCCTTCGCCTGTCAAGAGTGTGTGAGGTGTAGAATTCATCAAGTATCATGTTTTCATTAGTCTTTCTCCAGGTACCTATGTTCTGTTTTGCATTCATCTCTGCTTCTTCTTCATCTTCTTCAGAGCAAAGTTCTTCAATGGCACCGAGTTTTGGGGCAGACTTGGATCTCTCTAAAGGCGGCCTATAATTTGTTGCACCTACGCTGAGAAGTATTTTTCTGCGTGGCATACTTGGATTGTCGTAAACACTATTAGCAAGGCTGAGCCTCGCGTTCTGTTTGGAGATTCTGTCCTTCTTAAATTCGACTAAGGCTTGCTTTAGTTTAATTTGGAGTTCCTCGGTGATCTTCTTTGATATAGTTTCTTTGGTGCAGAGAACAGCATGGCATCGGAGTTCATGTTTGAGCTTCTTGCCCTCGTGTCTGTATACCCAGCAGAAGAGTTTGGGATAGTGGGGTGGACTGGCACAGTATGTAATGCGGTGGGACCAGTACTCGGTGAGGCCGTGCTCTTTGGTGAAGCCCTTCAGGCCGGAGTTGGTGACTGAGAGTTTCATCACCACATCAGGTTTGGTCGACTGTTGGTAGTTTCGCCAGAGAGTCGAAAGCGGCTTCTCTATGCAGCTCTCACCTGGAAAGAGGAAAAATCAACATTATTTCTCGAGAATACCAACGTTGTTTGAATTTTTGACAATTTGGGATTTTTTTTATGGTAATCAACAATTGTAGTTATTATCATAACAAAATTATTATGTATAGATGTATCAACGAATAATCTAGATAATAATTCCATATTCTTAGAAATATTAAATCGAAATTAGTCAGGCGTGTATTTATAAATACTGTTTCAATTTAATAAACCTCTGATATGAATATGATCTGATAGGCGTTTAATCGAAACGGATTTGGCTACTTGAGAGTAAAATTATATTTCAATGCCAGCGCTCTGGTGTTTGATTAAAATTTTGCAACTCCAAACTTGTTTTGTATTACATCAGCTGTTGCCAACTTTGTACGCATGATCTTGTCAAGTTTAAATATTAAAAATATTTTCTTAGCGATATTAAGAATTGTAAAGTGAAAATCTTTGCCTTACTTAACCTCTTATTTGGGTAGAGATCTAGGACTACGAAACTAGTGTATGTTAAAATTTGTAAAGTGGAATTTTTTTCCACACCTAGCTTCGAATTTTAACCCTTGTCCAATATCGTACAGTTGAAATCCTTTAAGTTACTTAGCTAATCATGTGGACCCTTATTTTTGTAGAGATTAAGGACTACTAAAGTAGACTTTCTCAAAAGCAGAAGAAGCCTAATCCTCCCAGAAGTGCAGATGCTATTTTAAAATTTGTAAAGTGATAATCTTTTCCCGCACCTTGCTTCGTATTTTAGTTCTTGTCCAATACAAAACTTGCACTTTACAATTTATGACATAGCATCTGCACTTATGGGAGGATTGTTATAATACACATAAGGATGTGTATAAAGATTAGAAGCTCCTAAAGTAACCTAACTCAAGAAAAACCTAATCCTACCCTAACCTAAGTGTAGGAAACTTATTACTATCTTTGTAGACCTCTTGAATGCTGGTAACATGATTGTGACGTATTTCAAAATGGTATCAAATTTATAGTTTAGAATTAACAATAACGTTTAACAATAACATGATTGTGACGTATTTCAAAAAGGTATCAAATTTATAGTTTAGAATTAACAATAACGTTCTCTTACATTTCATAATATTCCTAAAGTAAGAAGTTATACTAACTTTATATAGTAATGATTATTTAATGTTTGGAATTTTTAATAGAAATAGAAATAGAAATAATCTTTATTCAAGTAAACTTAATATAAGCCGCTAATCTACCACTTATTCGGAATGCAGATTCATCACAAAAAGAATAAGCAAGAAACTTGTGTGTTGCTCTTTTATATAAATAAATAAATATATATTTTTAAATCTGTATTACAACATAATATTTGTACGCTGGAAACAGCAGAATATGATGAAAAACTATCTTTTTATATTGAACCTACCATATACTAAAAATTTAATAAATTACCATTATTTTATTGGAGCAACCTCACAATTCTAAGGATAAATCCACTACTATGCACTTCAGGATTACGTGAGCGGCCGTTTCTCCGGCCTCAAAGCAGTCACAACAAAGAGATCTGTACTGCCCATTGTGTACAAGTGTTTGTTAAATAGATAGTAGCCTGTAATTGATAGGAAAGATCCTTATATTCAAGTTTTTGTAATTCGGTTCCAAATAAACATATTCCAAATTTCAGCTTTCCTTAACTAAGTACTTGAGGTTCTGCGTATCAAAAATGAAACTATTTTATAAAGTATACATACATAAGGTAAAAAATATTTTTTAAATTTATTTCAGTACATTGACATAATTGTTCATTTTATTTATTTACTAGCTACTCGCCCTGGCTTCTCACGGGTGTACATTTATTATATATTTATATAAATCTTCCTATTAAATCACTCTAAACTCACACTAAAGTGGTTTGGGCTGTGCGTTGATAGATCACTATGTCAGTCACCTTTGAGTTATATATATTTAGATTTTTTATATCTGTAGTCTTAAAAATTGTTACTGAAGTTACTTAGCTGTCATGTTAGAGTATCCAATAAATAGTGTAATTTACACTAAGTATCATACTGTAGATTAATTTGACTTGTCATAAGTGTCTGTGATGGACCTACATGAATAAAGCTATATTTGATTTGATTTGATATTATATATATATTGAATATATATTATATTCAAATACGCTGCCTACGTATCATTGCCTTGCCTTTATCTCATTATTTGTGGTCGGCGCAGTATGTCATTCTCTTCCACTGATCTCTATCAGTCGTCATATCTAAACATACTCTTCTTTTATTCATATCATCTTTCACACAATCCATCCATCTTTTCTTAGGGCGTCCCCTCCCTTTACATCCATCCACATTCATATTATACACTTTCCATAAGACATGGTCCTCATTCCTCCGCATAACAAGAATAAACAGTAGTTATTATTAATAGTTTCCTTTTAAACAAGTACTTGTTAACAACTTACAGACAAGTATCTTAAATAAAAAAAAACATATATTGTGATAAACAGTGTTGGTGACAAATTTATAAATATGTTTTTTTCTTTTCAATACTATGTAAAATGTTATATCATTGTTTGTTTACTTCACTACATAGTATAAAACAAAGTCGCTGTCGCTGTCTGTCCCTAAGTATGCTTGAATCTTTAAAACTACGCAACGGATTTTGAAGCGGTTTTCTTTAATAGATAGAGTGATTCGAGAGGAAGGTTTACATATACATGTACACCCGTGCGAAGCCGTGGCAAGTAGCTAGTTTAACTATAAGGAATTACGAACTACTGTAATGTAATTCTTAACTAGTATAAACAACAATGATAAATATACCAATAAAATCAGTCAGTATGGCGCCCGTTTTCGCACACGTGATTATTACTGCGACGGATTGCCCATAAAATGGCTGATGCTGGCGATAAAAATGATCATAAACATAATACATCTGCCATTTGTTATATAATATGGGATGAGTAGTAGGTAGGGGGGATAAGGGATTGTTAGTAATGGACAGATGATCTTATTGCTAACAATGTACCTTGTCAGGTTGCCCTCCACGCGGTGTCTCCTGGAAAATATCGTGATATATATTTACTGAGCAAACCCAATTACTCACTAAACGATTACTTGAATGACGAGCGTGCATGCCAATAGTTGTTCATGTACGGGATTTTCATTTAATTTTAGACATAGACACCTATATAAATATATATTGTAAATAAACTGGCTTTTAAAAAAAAGTGATTCAATTGAGTTTCTTGCCAGTTCCTCTCAATTGGATTTACGAGTATATACTGAACTGGACAGTAGGGAAAAATTAAAATTTAATGTAAAAATAGTAATAGAAATAGAAATAATCTTTATTCAAATAAACTTAATATAAGCACTTTTGAATAGTCAAGTTTTTTTATTCTACCACTTATTCGGAATGCAGATTCATCACAAGGAGAATAAGCAAGAAACTTGTGTGTTGCTCTTTTAAATAAATATTGATTTACTTATATTTAATTAACAACAAGGATTAGGCATGCGACAATCAACATAGAAACCGCTACGCAATGTAAAAAAATTACGTTCATAAGGGGCTAAAATGTCCTACAAGAATAAATGATTTTTGAATTTGAATTTGAATAAATTCTTAGTGAATTTGTCACGATGGGCTAACTGACCGGACCTCAGTCCGGTCAGTTAGCCCATCGTGACAAATGGATGCCGAGGATGAGCAAGAGGATGATAAGATGAACATGAGTGTTCATCTTATCATCCTCCACTGGTGCCCCGTCAACGTAAACCGTTAGCGCAGGCGGGTGCACCATTACATTATCATCCATAAAAATACCGCATGAGTTATCCTACAACGGAATATAAATATTTGTGTAAATCGTTCTAGTTTAAAAAAGGACGAATATCCATACAAAGTTCCATCCCCACTTTTAACCCCTAACTATACTTTTTTCGCATTTAAAAGTAGCCTATATCTTTTCTGAGAGTCTAGGCTATCTGTGTACCGGTTCAGTAGTTTTGGCGTAAAAGTGACAGACAGACAGATTTACTTACATATTTACAATATTAGTAATATATTCGTTTATGTCATAAACTACATTCCTAACTGATGATAGTACTACCACAGATAACATAATATTACATACAGATACCCCATCCCATACAAGAAAATGGTTCCTTCCTAACTCGGGCTATTCTTCGGGCTATTTTATTTCGCCACCGTAGCCGCTAGATGTCGCTAGATCTGAAGCAGTTCGGATTACTAGTGGGTGCTTAGTAACAAAGCATGAAAATAGATGGCAGTGAATTCAGTCTACATGACATCTGTTTTGCAAAGATATGTATATAATAGATATGTAGGTAACTGTATCGTGTACCTTAGGGACGATTCAAGATTCAATGTAAATGTGTAGGTATAATATCGTTAGCCGACACTCTGCAGATATGGCTTATGTGCCAATGTATATACCTATTGTGTTATGGTTTATTTTACATTCCATGCCTATTTTTTTTGATATGTTGTAACGCGTCTGCGCTATACGTATAGCCTGATTTTGATACATTTATACTCGTACGTATCAAAATCGGGCTATACGATTTTTTATTTCAATCGTTATATGTATGAGACTGATTTTAGCTACAATTAATTTACTGGTATATACCTCATGTATTCTACGATGTACCCCTCTTTTACCTAATGAGAATTCCGCTATATCTTATATATAAATTTTGTATCACAGTGTTAGTTGCCATATTTCTCCCACATTTTGATGAAATTTGATATGTATACTTCCCAGGTCTGAGGTAGGGTTGTTATCTATTTTTTATACCCCTAAGTCATAGGGGTGGCCTACCCCGAAAAAAAATTTTTTTGTATTATGGACAATTTTTTATTTATTTATAATGTTACATTGAAAATACATACACGCCTAAATTTTCACCCGTCTTTCACCAACCCCTATTTTTAATAGCGATATTCTTACAAATATTATAAATGCTAAAGTAACTCAGTCTGTC